TTTACTCTTAACTTTAAGCTGTTTGTTTTTTGTATTAAATGACGTTCATGAGTGTACAACTGCCATTTAAAACCCTTATTTTTCCTTCAGATTACAATGTTTACCAATGTCTTAAAGATGAAACGGGCTCTCCACAAGGGAACTTGGTAAGTTGCTTTTGCCTCCAAATAAAAAACAAACACTTGCATGAGAGGTGGCCGGGTGGCTTAGAGGTCGGAGCACTGAGTCCGCATGGTTGAGATTCTGGATTGGAATCTAGGCAGCTATCTGATTAAACTGGCCTCAAGTGTCGTGAGTTGATTGCACTTAATTTGCCAAAATTGCAGCGCTGCGAATTAAAGTATATATATTTGGCAGTCATTCTTAAAACATTACTGTCAGTGGCAGAGAAGGGAAATGACCAGAGGTCAAATGAATGGCTTTCAGAGGTAACTCTGCGTATTCTGCTTCCGTTGGCCGTTTCTCTGAACTATACAACGCAAAACACTGCTCTGATAGGGATCAGAATCGATTCTTTACCACGAGACACGACTGATGAGAATGGATCATGTTATATTTTTTGTATTCAGTCCATATGAATCGTCACCTTGAGCTGCACTTAGCAGAGGTTTCCTGTTTTGATGTAAATCTCTGTGCTGTGTCTCACCAGGGTTCTCAAGCCAGTCTTGAAACAGGATCTGAGCTGAACTGGGTTCAGTCACCGACCACACTAAATACACCGTCGGACGCCCATACGCAAAACACATACGTGAGTAGTGATCCATTCTTTTGTTACAGAGCTGTGCCAAAACTTTATATAGTCTTGTCTGAAACATATAATCACAATGTATACATTTCTGCTTCAGTAAACTTAGACAATAAATAACCAGTTCCTTAAATATCATAATTACTTTCCTACCATCAAGAGGAAAGGAAGATCTTGACCTTTTAGCTAACTGGCATTTCTTCAGGATATACTATAATAATTCAAATGTATAATGCTCAGTTTATCCTAGGATCCCAATGCACAATGCATGAACAGCAGGAAACAAAAAAAGAACCAGGGCAACCGACCAAGCGAGTGAAGACCGGTTTAAAGAGACGGGTTTTCAAAGCAGTCTTAAATATTGATTTAATACCCTCTATAGGGGCTCTCTAGAGCTCCTTCTGGTCAGCAGCGATGAACAAAAAAAACTGCAGCAAGTATACATTTACCAGTTTTTTCCCATGCTTTATTTTGCAGGTATCCAGAAGTGATGACACTCATTGAGGGACGGTGGTGGAGAGAACGGACAGCGTACACCAAATGCCTCATCTGGCAGAAATGCCTTTTTTTGGCACCGACCAGGAACACTTTCTGCTGGTGTATCGTTAACTAGTTATGGTTTTATATGTTCCAGTTTGCATGTTTGGTATGTTTCAAAACGGGATGTAAACTTTCAGTTTAAATGCTCTCAAACTTAGAACGATGAGTAGCGTTTTATTGTAAATTTGGTACAGTTAGTAATGTGTAAAATTTAGAACTAGAGCCATGTTTTTAAACAAAACACTAAGAGGTGTAGAAGGGGGATAGGTTTACAAGTTTGACACATCTGTAAAATAAACTGTGAATGATTTTAACTTTTATATTTGCTGCTTCTTGGTGGGTGTACACGATCGGATGTGAATTTATATATAAAGGAAAAAAAGTACATCACTTGGCATTTTATTTTTGTAAGTTCTTTTACAATACTGTAGGGTTTCAAAAAAACTCCAGTTCCTCCCTTTTGGGCACCGACTTCTTTATCATTCAACGTTCTCAGCCTCGGATAGGTTTCTAAGTGCTTTAACATGTAAAGTAGCACAGTAGTTGTAGTGGTCGTAATAGCTGTTTTTGTATGTTAACGCATTACGCCTGTTTTGTAAATCAGTGGAAATAAATGTTGATTTAATTTTCCACCGCTAACATTTCAAGTATGCTCTGTTGCTTTACAATGAGTGTAATTCTGTTATGTTCTGTTATGCTTGTGGGAAACATTTTTGGGGAAAATAAAGCAAGTGAATTTCATCATCTTTATCAGCCGTGGTCTCCACTGCTGAATGAAGGCATCATCATGCGGGCACCATCCCTCACTCTGTAATGCTACAATCTGTCGCACATGTGCACTTGGGATAATCTCATCACTCCGACTCCATGTTGGTCATCCTCATTTGGTTTACATTTCATGACCAGTTAACCATCGGCAAATAACCCTTCTAGCATTGTGCCATGTTCAAACCCAGGGACCCTTCCACTTTCCTTGATCATCGTACATTCATTCCAGCTTTTTTTCAATCAACGTCATAATGAAACCCCCTACATACCAGATCCATCTGGGAGGTTGTTTGACCATACCTCACCCTGCTGATCAGTGCCAAAGTGGGCCTGAGACTGGTTTATATATCGCCACTGCTATGAATTAGCCAGTGACAGGAATTTAACTCGGGTAGCTGGTTCATAGCGCAGTGTTCTAACTACATCACCCCATAATTTCCTGTCAATCCACTGCTGGATGAAGGCCTCCCCATGTAATGTTGGTCATTGGATTTGTTTGTCCATTCTTGACCTTACGAGTAAATAGTCACATCGAGTGAATTTACATACTATCATTTGGAGACTATAAACTTAGTGTAAAAATACGTACTGATGTGCTATTGTGGAAAATGATAAGTCACACGAATAAACAGACCAGCTGCATGTCTGTAAAAAATATAATTTCCAGCAATCTGTAGGCCTTCAAGGCCATTGCTTTGTAAAACAGACCTGACTGCTGATTAGACTCAAAAGTCAAAACCAGGGCACACTTCGGCCGCTTCAGCAAATGCTGCTGTAAAACGTCGGTCTGAATGCCCGTGGATAAAACAAATTAGTACTGCAGTGTTAACCAGGGCTTCAGTCTGGATTCGAACCGTGAACCTCTGCAATAAGCGGCGAACGTGCTACCAACTGGGCCATGGCACCTCCCCCGTCTTCACCAGAGCCATCTGTGCAACTTGCCAGTTTTATTTCTATATTTGAAGCTTTCGTGACTGCAAGGATTCATACTCTTAGTTATTTCGGTAAAGTCACGTAGGTAAAAAAATGAAATTGAAATTAATAAAAATAAAACAATAAAATCACGACGTTTCGGAGGCAACACAAGCTTCCGTCTTCAGGTGAAACTGTCACAGCAAAATATCTGTATTAAGTGAAGAGAAGTCCCAAGAGGCACGACCTTATACTGGTAGGAACGAAGTGAACCAGCCTACAATAGATTATATCGTCCGTCCGATTAGGTGTAGCAACATCGCCCCCTACTGCAAACACTTGGCAGGACCCTACAAAAACCTTTAGACTCAGCGAGGCTTTTCCTGGCTAAACAAGTGTAATAATACATTATGTTTATATTCTTTGGTTATTCGTTCCTACCAGCCCACCCCGCAGGGACCTGTTATAGTGGTTCAGGGGGGGAGGAGCCAGGAAGGGCCGCGGGAGAGGAGGAGTTGTGAGATGGTCAGTACTGCTGCCGGAACTAAGCCTTTGTAATGTAGATGGCATAAGTAGATACGCCAGCTAGGATTAAGCCGCCGTATGTTTTTAAATCCTTTATATTAAGTTCGCTTGCTTGCTTGCGTGCTTGCATGCTTGCTTGCTTACGACCGTGCAAATCTTTCGGTCGTTTTTTAACCCACTTCCCGTGATCCAATCGAGCTGACATTTTGCACACAGACTCGTTGTGCGAGACAATGTTCGTGAACATTTTTTTCCTAAATTTTACACTGTTTAGGGAAAACAAATTAAATATTTAATTACCAATTGCTTAATACTGGCAGACAATAATCTGACCCATAGGTGGCAGCCATCTCAAGCCAGAGGACGAGAGGACTCTAGCCGCCACGCATATAAAGGATTTAGAGTGAAAAACTTTGTTTTTACGGGTTATACTTATTATGCTCCACGTGGGTCACGAGGCATGTGAACCAAGTCGCGCGCAATAGAGCGGCCACGTGCGTGAGTGGGAGGCATCTCGAGGCGTGGGTAGCGGTCGTGTAGCGGTTAGCGCGGCTGCCCTACGGACCAAGACACCCGAGTTCGATTCCCGCTCACGGCCACCAACAACCCACCAGGGGACGATTATCTTGAACCGGTCCCGGGACTCCCCTAGGTCGACTCAGACTCAAATAAGTACCGCCACTGGGGGAGAGACAAAGGTGGCTGGGTCGTGGTGTTGTCCCCCCCCCCCTTTCATCCCATCACAGTCGTGTGCCAGTGGCTGCCTCCATCGTAGGGCTGAACGATTTGGGGAAAATATGCAATTGAGATTTTTCTGACAGATTTTGCGATAACATTTTTTAAAGTTTAAGCTTCAGTTCAATATTCACTGTGTAATAGATTTAAAGCGTGTGATGGAGCATTTCAACATGATACCATCAAAATATGAACTGCTCTATATATTGTAATGTAAGGATGAGAACTTAAAATATATGAATTGCTTCAAACATGTATTTATTTAAAAAAATATTGAAATAGAACAATCAAACATAGAACAATTGTTAAGTTACAAAAAATTGTTATAATAATAAAAAATAAAACAATTCCAATAAGAAAGTAATTGGACTTTAATCTTGATTTGAAGCTTTCGTGACTGCAGGAATCCAGGCTCTTTGGTTCTTTCGGTAAAGTCACGTAGGTATGAAATAACATTTTATTTTGTTAAAATAAAATTATATCCAATTTTTTTTATAAATAACATTTTATTTTATTAATATAAAATAAACATTTATTTTATTAAAATTCAATTTTATTTTATTTTCTCCTAATAGGACTTTTCAAATCGCAAAAATATCGCAGCCTTTGCGATTTGCTAATCGCATTGTTTAAAATTTCAATTTCGATTTCAAATCAATTAATCGTTCAGCCCGACTCCATAGGACGCTAGCAGCAACTTGCCCCAACGATCTGTCGCTGGCGGGTAGCAAATGACCACGGACCCCTACGCTTTCTAAACTTCAAATCTAGATTGACCGCGGACCCCTGAACGCGACTCTGCGCCGCGCTGATTGGCCGAGAGGGCGCGGCAGCGTCATCGCCAAAGTGATGGCGGCCAGCAACAAGCGAATCCTCTATGTCGGTGAGTTGTGACGGCTGTCGAATAGCCGCAATTAATGTTATTATTATTGTTGTTATCATTGTTAAACTTCGATTTCTCCTGACGACGATTAAGATAGATTTTTCTTAAACCCAAAAATCGCACTTTCGGCCCAAAATTCAACGAATGTGTTCGTGATTAAACGTCGTCCTCGGATTGTAAATGTTGTGGGTGTGCTATCCCATGATGTGCTGTGCCACGTTTTGTTTCAGTGACAAAGCTTACGAATTGGCCGTGGCGGATTTAACTACGCATTTCTTACGCGATTCAACCCCCCCAAAAAAACCTGTATTATGATTGTATTCTATATTGTAGCGTCGGGTTTTTTTGTTTGTTTTCTCAATGGGTTGAAGCCTTGGGCCTACTGTCAATCTGTATGAGGGCCGAGTGACCATACTTCACCACGAACCAACCAAATACTTGCCGATTGTTGCTGCTTTGGTGGTTGTGCGTCCACACGCGCAACTCGTCATCGACACTGCCTTAAATGAGGGAGATTTTAAAAAATATAATCGGTGACGTTTCGGGCAATGGGCCATTCTTCGAAGCACTCCGCGATGGAGAAGTGGTTGGAGTCCAGGAGCGGTTCTATTGAAGGCATCATCATCATCATGTTGCGCGTAGATGTTTCTTGTTCATGTTTTTTGGTTTGTTGCGGTTATACCCGATTCAAGAGCCACCGCCGCATGGCTCACAGGGCTATACCGAATAATAAATGAACTGAACTAAAAATCGTACTCGGGTCTCTACTCCGGCTTTCCCCTCCACGTTTACAGCATTTGGCTCAACGATGATGAGCCCCAGTTCGTTGAGCTATCATCACTTGTTATGGCCAGGTCGCTTCTGAGAAAGAGCCGTAATAGTTCACTGTGAGCCTCTTACCTGGTCGACTAAAAAATTAACCCGTAAAATCAACGTTTTTCACTATAAATCCTTTATATGCATGGCATCGGTTTTATTTTATTATTCATTTCTGTTTTTCTTGAGTAAGAGTTTCATTTTTATCACATTGGTATTTTAAATTAATTATGGGAAAAAAAATTCCTAAAAAGTGGAAAATTTTGGGAAAATTTTTTTTCACGATAATAAATTGTCACGCACAACGAGTCTGTGTGCAAAATGTCAGCTCGATTGGATCACGGGAAGTGGGTTAAAAAACGACCGAAAGATTTGCACGGTCGTAAGCGCGCAAGCAAGCAAGTGAACTTAATATAAAGGATTTTTAAATTGTGGTGGTGATGTTGACAGTGGCCAGACATCGAACTAGAAAGCGGGGTTCGTAGTGCAGCGCGCGTTGTGACAACTTTACTGCGCTAAAGTTCTACTCTTAATTCTGTCACAATCTCGCGACTCTCACAACTTTACGTTTGAAGTAAACAGTTTCGATGCACCGCGTGAATAACTCAGTGAAGTGTGCAACGGTGATCAACGCGGCGTGCAAAGTGCAAGGGGCCATGTGGCTTGTACGATGGCATCGGTTTAACACGTGGGATTTCGCGACCAATTTTATTCTCAGTAGAGGGTTTTTGTTGGGTTATATCACATAAATATAAATGTGTCGTTAAACCCGCCACCACCCGACACAACCAATTAGTAAGGTTTTGGCACATCAACAAAAATGCCAACTCGTTACTAGTACTCGAATTGTAAATGTTGTGGGTTTACTATCCAACACACTGGTGTGCTTCATTATCAACGTTTTTGGCTTGTCAGTGCGGGTTGGATGCTTAGAAGTACAGTACAAGAATGGATGTTGCTGTAAGGCAATAATACCCACGTTTCACCTCTAAGATATTGCGTGTGAATCCAAGGTTGCTTGCCTGCCTTGAAACCTATGATCTCAGTCGTAACCAACTCGTGCTCAGATCTCGAAATTACCCGGCCCCCTTGAACTTTCTTTTTTGTACGAATGACACAAACTCTTCCCTCCTAAACTATTTATTTGGCTGTCCACCAGGCGGGCTGGCGGAGGAGGTGGACGAGAAGGTTTTACATGCCGCGTTCATCCCGTTCGGGGACATCGTGGACATCCAGATGCCGCTCGACTATGAGACAGGTACAACACCAACTCGTCTGCCCTACGTGTATCAATGGAACACAAGCACACTTAGGAAAGCTGAGAATACGAATACTCATAAGTAACACCAGCCTTTAATTCAACAAGCGAGACGTTTCAAACTTCTGGCTACAGCAAGGAGGGAGAGCGTAGTCATCGTCAGTCAAAAATTCTCAACCACCAGACGTAAAGGAGGGTGGTAGAACGGGGTTTGAGTTTTAGACTTACAGTGACTCACATCTGCTTACTGTCATTGAAACATCGTTTGTTACATTTCAAGCTTGATGTACTACTGTTTGTGGTAATTATTACAACGGCACCTCCCTAAATGTCGTATAACCATCTCAGCTTTGTATTTACTTTCTGCCTTTCTTCAACATTGGGGATGTTTAGAAAGGCGTATGTGATCAATCACTGCAAGGAGATAGCTGGGCATTTTAATCCATTGAACCGCTTGTGTCAGAATAAATGTTTGCAGAAATCCTAAAGCTTCTCGGAGCTGAGTTTAAGCCCCTTTGTCGCCCTCTTCTGGCTTCTTACAGAAAGCAATGTCTGAACAACAACTCAACCAATGTTATATTACCCCACTAAGCTATATAGCTCTTTTTCAGAAGCGAACTGGCCACACAAATGATCGTCCAACGGAAGTGGCTTATCACGTGGAAATTTATAGCAGCCAAATACTCGAAATGCTTGTTGACTCTAGATGTGGAGCGAAAAACCGGAGGACCCGGAGAAAAATCAACACAACCGTCGGTTGAAGTCAACCCCGTCAATGCACCGATGGATTTATCTGCTAGATTGGCTTAATACGCAGACTTCCCATGTTAGACGTCTGGGATTTTGTTGAGTGCCTTCTTACTCGTTTGTTTTTGTTTCTGTTTACAGAAAAGCACCGAGGTTTTGGGTTTGTGGAGTTTGAAGCTGCAGAGGTTTGTTAGTAACAAATTTTGTATTTACAAAATTCTACTTTTGTTATATTTACTCATATGCCTGTTTCAGTAATAATGTACAGTTATACATTGTAGTGATATTTTACATTGAAGTGATATTTTTCTTAGAACAACGAGCACTCGATGTTGTGTATTATCATCTTTCGCATGTGATTATCTTTCAGGATTCTGCAGCAGCAATCGACAACATGGTGAGTGTTACTTCCCTCCCTATCCGTTAACAATTAAGTACGCAATTCTCTTATTAAGTGCAGTAGGAAACCCATTTTTTCCATTACATTTTGCTAGATTGTAATTTTTTTCTAGTGTTGCCATGAGAATATTTTTCTCATGCGTCCAACGTGCCTGTGTGCATTTGCAGAATGAGTCGGAGCTGTTTGGTCGCACCATCCGCGTGAACCTCGCTAAACCCATGAGGCTCAAGGAGGGCTCCATGCGACCAGGTCATTTGCAGGAGCCTTATCATGCTGACCATGGGCCAATGCACAATTCACACCGCACCCTCCGGCGTTGACGGAAGTGTTGCGTGCGGTCTCTCTCGGTCGCTCATTTTGATGTGCTGTGATCTAACAGTGTGGTCGGATGACAACTGGCTGAAGAGGTTTTCTGGGAAGACCATGGAGACAGAGGAAAAGGGTGGAGAAAAAGTGGAGGATGCAGCAAAGACGGAGGTTCAGGAGGTGCGCTCACCGCTTGCTATGCCTAATCAGTTCTCTTTTTTAAGTGTGATAATTGCATTGCACAAGAGGTTTGAATGCTACCAGTGATACATATGGTGACACGGTGTCACTTCTAGCGTTTTTGACTTCAAAGCTCATTAATTCTAGATTTGAAGCTTTCGTTACTGCAAGTATTCATATTCTTAGGTTTTTTTCGGTAAAGTCACGTAGGTAAAAAATCTTAATTAATAAAAGTAAAATAAGATTTACTTGATTACAGCAAGCGTGCTGTGACGGTTCCACCTGAAGACGGAAGCTTGTGTTGCCTCCGAAACGTCGTGATTTTTATTTCATTTAACTTTTATTAATTTAGATTTTTTACCTACGTGACTTTACCGAAAAAAACCTAAGAATATTCAAAGCTCATGTTGAGTGAAGTGCGTTTCAACTGTGTGTGTGCAGGGGGAGCCGCCAGCAAAGCGTATTCGAGCAAATCCCCAGGTGTACATGGACATCAAGATCGGCAACAAGCCAGCCGGGCGACTGCGCATCCTTCTGCGGGCGGACATTGTGCCCATGACAGCAGGTGGGATTGCACCTACTGCTGCTGCTGCTGCCGTGTCCTGAGATGGAAGCGTAGCCGAGCAATGTTAACCAACTCGGTCGGGTTGTCGCTGCTGTTTACCCCGAGTATCTATAAGGGTCACGGAGGCTCGCTGGAGTGGAGCAATCCACACCTGCCAAGACGACTCATTTGGGTGCCCTCTCAGAGAAGGAAGTTGTATTTACGGGCTCGCAATTTGCCATGTTCTGTTTACGTGAGAAACCTTACTAATTGGCTGTGTCGGGTGGTGGCGGGTTTAACAATACATTTATATTTACGCGATCTAACCCAAAAAAAACCTGGATTATGGATGCGTGATTTAGTTATGTTTGATTTGACTGGTTTATTTGCACTTGCACCTGCGAGACAGTGCAATTTGTATTGGTGTTGATTGTGGTAGTTGTATGGTAGTGTTTTGGAAGTGATGATGGTATGAGTGGGTTTGGAGATGATGATGATGGTTATGGTGTTAGAGTTAAAATTACTGATTGTGTTGTCTGATCATGGTCATTGTGAAATTGTATGCTAGTTCACAGCTTCTTGTGATGTGGTATAATTTAGAAGCTCGATAAATTTAAGTTGTAATACCGCACACATTGTACTGAACCAAAAAGGAAAAAAACATAGGTGAAAAAGTCTTGCTTGCAAGACATGGTTTTAAACCATGGATATCTCGATTATTGTATCCAACATAAGTATGTTATGAGAATACATGTATATTAAATAAATAATTATTCCAAGGTATGCGGCATACATTCCAGCTTGGCCTGTCAATTTAGCAGTCAGCATCAGGTCGGAGTGATTGATGAAGGTTATTTTGCCATTTGTTATCTGGTTTGTTTTACTCGCTGGGAAACGGTTACTTGATGGTTTTCTGTACAGAAACGCATTTTTGGAAAGTGGGGGTTGATTTCACCGTGCACTTTGTTTTTCTGTCCCGTTGAATTCCATCTCGCAGTCAGGTGTTTGGTTTACACATGCCTGTTCACTCGCTGTGGCCATACCATATCTGCTGGAAGTGCGTGTGTGTTTCTGCAAAAAAAAAATCAACTCCCCCCGTGCACAAAGCTCGAAAAACTTCCTTTCCTCCCATCTAGCGGAGTGTTTTATTATCAATATAAATGAGAGAAAGTGTTTGTGTCATAGCTTATGCTGCGTTATACATGCACGGCATATTTCAAATTCCGTAATATGTTGTACATGTAACCTAGACAACGTTTTAAGGAATGTAATACCTAACTTTTAAAGAGTGATTATTATTAATACATCGCTAATTTGGTATCAGAGTAGGCTTGTTTATTTTATCGTATTATTTACGCTTATTTACATAGAGAAGCCTGACTGAGCTTCATGACTCCTTTTTAGGATGAAATTGCATGTTTAGTTTTTCCAATCAGAGTGCAACGATTGCGATGTATATGCCAGTTGAGTAATTTGCGGTGTAATTTTTTATATTTGGCCAATTTGGACAGTGACACTGGCACAAGGGTAGTGTATAGATGTATGTTGTAAATAATTGTTCTTATGTGTGTTGCATACGCGTGTGTGTACACAAATGCTGTTTGAGTGCCATTCCCTAAATGTTTGTGTCACATCGCAAGCGATACACTCCACTGCTCTTGATGCAGGTTATTTGGCTTGACCACCTGAATGTAAAATTGTCGTTGTGCTGCATCAACATCAGCTATACGAAAGAAGAAGAATGCATTTACAAGGAATGCTCAGAAAGTAATGACTCTAATTTGTTTGACTCAATAACTTGTTATTGAACTGATCCAAACTGTAAGCTATTCATGCCTGGGGGACATTTGCCTTTTTTCAACATCGTTTTCGATGTGCCAAGATGGAACCGGGACCAGCATTCCATCGTTGTAAACTTGTGTCGTCAGCACCGCGTAGCCGTTGGCGCAACGCTTCTTGTAAGCAGTCACCTTCCCAATTTTGCTCCCTTCAGATGGCAATGTGAGTGTGCATGCCGCACGTGGGCTACATGAGGTGTGTGTGACAGCACCCTCCACCTGAACTGTGCCATGGCCTTGTTGTGTATGTTCCCAGGCTTGTGCCGCCTAGGCATTGCTTTGTTGGAAGGAGACTTTGCCATTGGATTGTTCTGAGACTGGCTGAACGTACGCCTTTTGGCGTCATCTGGTCCAACACCAATGTAGACTAGGCTCTAAGAAAAGCTGTCTCGGGTGTGGACCAATCAACTTCAAGGACAGTGCTTATCATCAACAGAGTTGTTTCTTTTTGTTTGCATTTTGACTGCTTGTGAAGTGGTTATTGCAAACATGATGCCTTGTATAAAGGTGTCAGTTTTTGTACCAGTTGAAAGGGTAAAAACCTATCACTACAGCGATTTTGTAAATCCCCTGCTGGATGAGGTCCTCCCAATGTCGTGCAGGTTACGTGGGGTATTTGACCATACTTCACCATGCACCTCAATGTGGGTTGGGGAAGGCGGGCAGAATAGATGTGGGAGCATCGAAGTACGGTACAACAATGTTTGCTGCACTGCCTTACTGTTGTCCACCACACAGCCGAGATGTATTATCTCAAAATGTTATTGGGGTGTCTCTCGTGAATGTGGCTGCAACGTACAGGCGGTGCATAAGCGAGTGCATGCAAACCGCTCCTCTCGTTCTCTCTTTCCCCTGTGTGCAGATAACTTCCGCAGTCTGTGCACGCACGAGAAGGGCTTTGGCTACAAGGGCAGCTGCTTCCACCGCGTGATCCCGCAGTTCATGTGCCAAGGGGGCGACTTCACCAACCACAACGGCACGGGCGGGAAGTCCATATACGGGCGGAAGTTCGAAGACGAGAACTTCATCCTCAAGCACACGGGCCCCGGTCAGTGGGGGAGCTTGTGAGCTCAAGGCGATGATGTCGCGTTAAGTAAGGAAGAACAAATAATCCCGCACACGCGTGTGGATTCTGTGACGCTCTGTAGCGTGCGTTCGACGGTATTTGACGGGGGCGATAATAACGTTGCCTTCCGAGTCTCGAAACGGGATGACGTCCGTGTGGCCTCGTTGAACCACGATGCCAAATGGCGAAAATTCGTTGTGCTGCGTGGGGTGTGAATGGGATTACGTGCCCATTGACTTTTCCACAAAGTGGTCCTCATTTTAATTTGACCTTAGAGGTATGACAAGACAAGTCCACTGCTGAACGGGATTTTGAATTTGGAGTTTTACAATCGTGAGCTGAGAGCACCGATCACGGTGCCACATGGCTGGATAATGTCACCTTATTCTCGTTGACCTTTCAGTCATTCTCTTCGTGAAAATAACTAGAAATGTGGTATACATACGTATGCATGCATGTTGAACTTCTTTCGCACCGCACGTAGCCAACCGTGCTAATCGGAGGTGCGGGGGATGGAAAATAAACTCAACACAAAAAGCAGTTATAAAGAAATGAGTTTTCAATCTAGTTTTTAAAATGCATAGCTCCAGCGGCTTCCGAATATCGGAAGGAAGAGCGTTCCAGACGGCCGCAAAAGCGCATCTGGAAGCGTGCGATGCAGTGACCATCTTTGTAAAGTGCAGCCCATTTGTCAGTCCACTGTTGGATGATGGCCTCCCCAATCGATGTAGGTCACGGGGGCTATTTGTATGTAGTCAGTGCGGGTTGGCGAAGGCGGGAGAGCATAGACGTGTGAGCATGGGAACACGGAACAATAAAATTGTCTTTGTGCTACTCCTCTATGTAGGCTTGCAGCCAATTTTATTTTGTGAAGCCTCCGACTTTCACAGGGTGGTCATCCGTCCACGCACTACCCAGGTTCCTCAACCTCGCTGCTCAGCGTCCCAAGATGTGATGAGATTTGGGCGCATTCCGCGTGACTTGTTATTCTACCTTCGCGTTAATGTTTTTTGTTTGCATTATGTCTGCAGGTATTGTGGTCTATGCAAGCATGACTCCTTGTAAAAAAGGTGTCAGTTTTGTTGCCAGATAGAAGGGTAAAAAAGCAATTGTCATATTTTTTTACTGGCAAATGAGGTTCCCATGGTGTAAATGCTTACCCCGAGCTCTCATACTCTGATGGTGCATTGTCTTTGAGTTGTGCGCCTTTTGGCGTCATCTGGTCCAACCCATGTGAGACTAGGCTCTAAGGAAAGCTGTCTCGGGTGTGGACCAATCAACTTCAAGGACAGTGCACATTATCAGAGTTATGTTTTTTGTTTGCATTATGACTGCAGGTATTGTGGTCTATGCAAGCATGACACTTTGTAAAAAAGATGTCAGTTTTTTCTTCTTGGTTCTTTCGGTAAAGTCACGTAGAAGGGAAGTAATAAAATAATAAAAATAAAACATAATAAAACAATTCTCACGACGTTTCGGCCACAACGCAAGCAGCCATCCTCAGGTGAAAACCAGGTCCGTCGAGGCGACAGAGTCTGAATGAAACAGCACACGAGCTTGGAGCATATATATAAGCTGGGCGCATTGACAAAGGAATTTGCATATCAAAAGGAATTTAGCATATTTATGGGAAATGCAGGAATGTGATTAGTACTGCATATGCATGTGCATTATGCAGGATTAACAGCATCAAAGGGAGCTGCAGTTACTGCTGCTGCAGCTGTTTCATTCAGACTCTGTCGCCTCGACGGACCTGGTTTTCACCTGAGGACGGCTGCTTGCGTTGTGGCCGAAACGTCGTGAGAATTGTTTTATTATGTTTTATTTTTATTATTTTATTACTTCCCTTCTACGTGACTTTACCGAAAGAACCAAGAAGATGAATCCCTGCAGTCACGAAAGCTTTAAATCGAGATGTCAGTTTTGTTGCCAGATAGAAGGGTAAAAAACCAATTATATTTTTTACTTGCAAAATACCAATGGTGTTAATATTATTATTAGGATGTTTGTGTCGGCCTGAGCAATGGGTCCTTGTCGTGACGTGCGCAGGCATGATCTCGATGGCCAACTCGGGGCCCAACACGAACGGCTCTCAGTTCTTCATCTCGTGCGATCGCACGGACTGGCTGGACGGCAAGCACGTAGTGGTGGGGGAGCTCACCGAAGGCATGGACGTGCTCCGAAAAATGGAGGTGATGTACAAAAGTTGAAGATCATGAAGTTTTACATCGAGGCTTGTGCGTATTCAAAAAAATGTATACTATCTGTAATCTTGGAGAGATGCAGCCTGCAGGAGGTTTTTTGAGACCGGAGTTTGAATATAGTGCTCTGGCGGATGTTGTAAAATATCATCTTTGAGTGTTTAAGAAGAGAGGAAGGCCGAACAGAGAATGTCTTGACGACATAAGAGATTGGTGCCAGAGAGATGTGGCACTACTTGAGCATATTGGCACGAGAGAGAGGAAAGTGGAAACAAGTGATGAAATGTGCAGCTGGGCACCTACGGGGCTATTTGCCCATGGATCGTGGTAATGATGAGTCTTTAATTCGGTGACATGTTGCTGTACGGGGACCTGGAATTGACAATGCTTGGGTTTAATGTTGGGATGCTGCCGTGGTGCAATGGTTACCGTACTGGACTTGCAATCCAGAGGCCGCCGGTTCAGATTCCCGGCACAGCAGTTACATTGCTGGGCAAGTTTCCTCAATCACCACCCCTTCCCCCCCCCCGCCCCCCACGGCATCTGTCCCCACCCAGCAGTATGAATGGGGACACCCCAGTCGATCGACAAATCACACATCGTAGAATAACATGCAGCTACGTATGCAAGTTGAACTTCTTTCACAACGCACGTAGCCACCCGTGCTCACCGGTTGGTTACTCCCACCTCTTCAAATATATCTTGGGCCAGCGTGGAAGAGTAGACCAGGCGTTATCTAGGGCACCGACGTTGGGGTGAGCAGGTACTTTCAGGGCTGCACCTTTACCTTGCACCTGCGTTTTATCGCGCAGGCTCAGGGCACGAAGGACGGAAAGCCGCGCGAGAAGATTATCATCTCCGACTGCGGGGAGTTGGAGTGAAGAAGCGGCGCTCGCGCTCATTCACACGATCGCGCTCATTCACACGATCGCGCGGACATCGTCCTGCATCGTCGCAGCGGCCTTGAGCCTCGACTGTTTCATGACGTGGCCATGGGCGATTCGTTGCTTTGTGGTGCTTGGACACGGTCGCACATCTCGTCGCATCAAGCCAATCGATTGTAAATGTAATAACGGGCATCACACGCGCGCACTAATTGGAGATGGCGGGGGAGGGGGTACGGGGAGGAAATGTGCATCCGTAGACACGGAATGACCCTGGTTTAATGTATTTTTATACTGGAAATCTTAACGGAATGAAAAAATGTCGAGCTGTTTTTTTGTAATAAAAATGCGTTTATTTGTTACGCCATGAGGTTTCATGGCGTGACATATCGTCAAACTGCGTTTTACTAGATAGTACTTTATTTACAGCATTGTGTGATTCCATTGCTGGATCAAAGCTTCTCCCATGCCATGTTGGTCATGTGGGTTATTTGGCCACAGATCACATTGGCAAAACCTGCCACTGATATTAGCTGTGGTCTGGAAACAAACTCTGGTGGTCGTTGCTTCATCTTATCTTCACGGAATGTATATAGCACCTTAACCAAGGCGCTTTACACGGAATTAAAAGTAGTTCTTGTGAGTGTAATGGTGGAAATGAGGTGAATGAAATGGATGACGGGAAGCAATGGGCATATCCGTGGTGATGCGTGAAATCGGTGAAAGCGACATTTACATTAAACGACGAATGAATGGGGAATGACTGCTAGCCATGTAATGAGAAGATGAAGAGGGAAAAGTAACGGTGGTGGTTATGAGGGGGGGATTAAGGGGTCGTGGGGTGAACTAGGGAACAATAAGCGAGTTTAGAGTTGAAAGAAACGAGTGAGTGAAGGTGACCGTTTAATGTGGAGGGGGAAGTTTGTTCCAGTGAATTGGGGTGAGAAGAGAGAGAGGAAGTTCCAGTGAAGTGGAGGTGAGAAGAGAGGACGAAACCATTACGCCGCCATCCACACCACCGCAACCCCACTGATGTATTGATTTCATATTCACTGGGGAACCCAGTGTGCTGTGTGTACATACAGTCGTCTAATCCTACGTAGCCTTAAATGTTGATCAATTGCCGGTTTATAAATTTGACTTTTCACGCCTGTGGTAAGTTTTTAGAATGTCTTTTTTTCACCAATTTTTTAGAGAAAGCTCAACTGCATTGGGGGCGTTGCGATGCTACTGGAGCTGAACCCAAGCCAGCATTCAACACTGGAATTGGGTGTTCAATGTTTATCGGAGATTCCTGTAAATAGCTGGAGGAACTTGATGGCTAGGTTAATAAAAAACGCAATGGTTCTGATCAGCGTAGTGATTTATGGGCACCTGAAATTGGTCTCTTAAGAATATCTCGCGGAGAGTGAAGATAAAAATTTCACTTGCATAGCAAGTGAATGAGACACGTAATGCAATTATTAGTAAAATAACATTGGAACACCGGTCAAATGTAAAACCTGCCTAAATTGACTTTCTGGCCCAATATGATCCGGCAGTATTTGTTTTGAGTAAGCAAACTAAACGGGGTTTGGCATTCTGGGTCTCATCAACAGCATGTTAATCAAATGCTACCGAAGATGTTAATCCCAAGATGTTAATGGCCATGTGCGCAATGATCCCCAAAGAAATTGCTGAAAACGGGCAACTCTTTGGACGCTAGATGGCGTGAGAACCCAAATTAATTTCGAATGTCTTCCCATTGCGATGCCCACGAAAAATAATATAATTAGTATATCTTCTTGGTTCTTTCGGTGAAGTCACGTAGAAGGAAAATAATAGAAATAAAATACAATTCTCACGACGTTTCGGCCACAACGCAAGCAGCTGTCTTCAGGTGAAGAACAGGTCCCTTCTCCGTGACTACCGAAAGAACCAAGAAGATGAATCCCTGCAGTCACGAAAGCTTTAAATCGAAATTTAATTAGTATATGTTATCGTCCGGAATGTAACAGCGGATTAATATGAACCGGAAGATTTTTTTTTATCTTTGATTTGTATAAATTGTATGCACTTAAGTGGCTGCTGTAAACCATGGTGTCCACATCTAATCTCGACGTCTTGCATCGGGATTATTAATCGAATCGTCACGCGTGACAATACGCTCGCGATATCTGCGAGGGAGAGACGGCTTCACTCACAGTGCGGGCTTGGGGACAAGACACGTGGCGAGAAGGGATTCCGGTGGACGAGACTGGTGACGGAAATGCAGCTTAAAGGAGGGAACGCGCCCGAGATGGATGGCGACGACGTTGAGACGGTGCCTTCATCCAGCAGTGGATAGAACACGGATGCGCTGTTAATTTGTGCGCGTTTTTTGTTGTGCCAGAGCAGAAGGTGAATATACCGTCCATAATATAGGGGGTTTGTTGGGTTAGATCGCGTAAATGTGTCGTTAAAGCCGCCACCACCCGACACAGGTTTGTCACGGAAACAGAACATGAAAATTCGTTACTAGTACGGCACACCGGTGTGATGGAGAGCAGATCCACAACATTTACAATCTTGGGAGTACGACGTTTCGCCAGTAATTACAACCAGCATCATCAGACGGACAGCCAGGTTTGTGGAGAAGTCCTGTTTCTTTCCTTAAATAGAGGGATAGGTGTGATAACGTCGGTTGTGAGCCCTTCACGTGCGAAGGGAGGGGTGTGTTAATGAGTGCAATTCTTTGGATCTTTCGGTAAACTCACGTATATAGGTTCAAAGAAAAAAAAACTACGACGTTTCGATCACAACACAAACGAGCATCCTCCTGATGTGATCGAAACGTAGTTTTTTTGTTATTTTCTTTGAACCTATCTACGTGACTTTACCGAAAGACCCAAATAATATAAATTCCTGCAGTCACGAAAGCTTTAAGTCAAGATTTGAATATAAATTACAATGCGTTGTCCTTTATCAACCCGCTGCTGAATAATCGTGTCGGCGATGGCCTTGTTTGGTCATACTTCACGTTAGTCAATGGGGGTTGATCAAGGAGGGGCAAAGATCAAATCGGATGCCACTCGCTCGTGGTGGTCGACTTTGTCCAGGGAATCGAACTCAAGTTAACGGATTCGTATCGGGCAGCGCGCACACCACCGCACCACCGCTCCGACGGTGGGTATGAGATGTTTACTACCTCGCCTGGTGGACATGAGGTTGTGGATTCGATCCCGACCCTGACGCCTGCTGTATATTTGGAGTTTGCGTGTTTCTCATCATCACGATGGCGAGGAGATGTTAACTACCTCGCCCGATATGCAGGAGGTCGTGGGTTCGATCCCGACCCTGACGCCTGCTGTATATTTGGAGTTTGCGTGTCTCACTGCCCGTGGTCGCGTGGGTTTTTTTTCCGGGTCCTGGTTTTCTCTCTCCGCATTTAGAATGAACACCATGCGTTGGTTGACAAGCCACTTCGTTGAGCTATCATTTGTGGCCAGGTCGCTTCTGAAAAATAGCGACATAGCTAAGTGGTCCTTACCTGGTAAAATAAAAAATAGTTTACAGTTTGATAGATTACAAGGCTTCTTAAAGCGAGCGTTCAAGTTCAGACGCGTTAATCATGCCAAACTAAGCGTGTGTGCGTGTCTCATACGTTCGCTCCCATGGTCATTGAGTTATATAAATGCCAGAAGCTGAAGCCGGTGGCACTGGAAACGGTAAAGCTTTCAACGTCACACATACAATACATCACGATAAAACACAATACAACTCAATAAAACAATACAACACAAAACAACAATACATCACAATAAAACAAAACAACTCAATAAAACACAATACAACACAACACAACAATACATCACAATAAAACAATACAACTCAATAAAACAATACAACACAAAAATACATCACGATTAAACACAATACAACTCAATAAAACACAATACAAATTATTGGATCTGTCGGTAAAGTCACGTAGAAGGGAAGTAATAAAATTATTAAAAAATATATAACAATTAGGACGCTGTCTTTCCGACAGCTCTGTTCTTCACCTGAGGACGGCTGCTTGTGTTGTGGCCGAAACGTCGTGAGAATTTTATTGTTTAATTTTTATTATTTTATTATTTCCCTTCTACGTGACTTTACCAAAAGAACCAAGAATATGAATCCCTACAGTCACGAAAGCTTTAAATTGAAATACAACAATACAACACAATGCCATGTATACAACGGCTTCCCGCGACCACGTCTCCAGGCGCTTCACAGGAAGCAACAAGCTTGAAAAGAGTTTGCGTATAAGCAGGGTAATGGATAAGAAAATAAGAAAGTCAAAACATTAGCCATGATTGATCCACCGCCATCACTCGCAGTCCTGAAAAATAGTGGTACCAATTTACGTGGCCCTGTGAAGGTACATTTTTTTGTGTTTTTATATTTTAAAAAACTTACCGCCATCCCTCGCAGTCCTGCAAAATAGTGGTACCAATTTATGTGGCCTTTAAAAGTACAATTTGTACGTTTTTTTATCTTATATAAATATAAAACTTAACGCTGAACTTTCGCCACTTCAGATGGTACGGACAAGTCTAAGAACCTGGTCTGGGCCGATGCAAGTACTTGCCTACAGCTCGAATGAAGAGTCGAATCGACCACGATTGCTATTGGGGTTGAAGTGAACCCAGATTTATCCGGATGGAATTACAGCCGGTCAGTGCGAAGCGAGGTTTGCGAGCTCCAGAATCACACAGACATCTTGGTGTTTGTGAAATCATTGTCCACGCGAAGGCTTCGTATGTGTTGGGTGGTTTTGTTTTTATTAATCGTCTCCTGGCTCTCAACTATTAGCCATGATCAACCCACTGCTGGATGAAGAGCTGATGCCAGGTTCCGCGATGCGACAATCCAGCCAGTATCTCGGGGCTTGGTGTCTCCTTTGCCACTCGGCTGCTGCCTTCTGCCTTCCAGCCACGTGACCCTTCTCAGGTCCACGTGTCCCCCCATTAAAACAACGGTGTCGGGAATGCTTAAACTATTAGCGATGTTTTTTCGATCCTCCTTTGCTGCACTTAGAACGACGAATCAGGTGCCGGGGCACGGTTCAATGATGGCTACGTACGGTGCGAAAGAAGTTCAACATATATGCACTTTGGAAAGACAATGGAGACACGGAAAACGGCCGAAACAACTTTTGTGAGCTAACTCCCACGACTGCATTGACTAGTGTGGAAGAGTAGGCCAAAGACAGTCTAGATGGGCTCCCTAGAACTGTCTCGAGTGAAAGCCCTTCGCAACTATCTGTGTCGTGAGCAGGACATTGCAGGGATGCGCCTTTATCATTTATTTCTAACTGCGCCGTACACACGTGTAGGAACATGCCCGTGGGTCTATACCAGGGGTCGGCAACCAAAATAACAAGAAGAGCCATTTCTTTCCAATTCGGTACAAAATTCAGTATTTCAAGAGCCGCAATGCATCTGAGTACATACTGTACATATCGTCAAGAAGCAGCCCGTAAAGAGCCGCATGCGGCTCCGGAGCCGTAGGTTGCCGACCCCTGGTCTAGACGCTCAGGATGGAAAGCTTCGGTGAATCTGGCAGAGATGCGTGGAGCTCACAAAGACGGTGGCGATATCGGAGGAGCACAACACGTGGGTTGGTGGACCTCTGTGCTGAATTATTCTTTGGTTTTTTCGGTAAAGTCACGTATAAAGATAAAAGAATAAATGAAATAATAGCATACGACGTTTCTAATGCAACACAAGCAATCATCATCAGGTATATAATGAAATAGCGACATAGAATCTAACCAGAAAACTATAGACAGACATGTAAGCATGTCTGTCTATAGTTTTCTGGTTAGATTCTATGGTTAGATTCTATGTCGCTATTTCATTATACCTGATGATGATTGCTTGTGTTGCAATCGAAACGTCGTATGCTATTATTTAATTTATTATTTTATCTTTATACGTGACTTTACCGAAAAAACCAAAGAATAATTCCTGCAGTCACGAAAGCTCCAAAAATTAAGATTCTCTGTGCTGAACTTTGCGTGTTTATCCACCGTGCCCTTGGGTATTCTCGCAGGATGCAAAAGACGCATTTAAACATCCCATTGCAGGACCCTCCTGAAAACGAGTTTCGAGACTCGGCGAGATTTTCATGAATAGATAAATGACATCATGCACACATGTTCTGCTGGTGGGATTGGCGGATCACGGAAGGGATTTTGAGTCTCCACGACTGTGTAGACCACAATGAAAATGCTGACACATTTTCTAGGCGGGTGGCGACAAAACCCCCCCCCCCCCCCACCACATCATTCTTATTTTTGTTGCTGCTGCTGCTGCTACGACATTGTGTGTCGCCTTACAACGGCAGGGATGGAATTTCATCCGGACTAAATTTGACCACGCCTGACGCTGTCTCATTGGTAGTGTGCCAGAGTCCTCCTTGCGTGTCAAATCCACCTCCTTATGCGACCAGAGTCGGCGATGTGGACTTCAAAGACGTCTGTTTGCGGCGTTATTTATTTATCTACTTAGCCCGTCCCAGCCGTTCTCACCGCGTCGTCTTGTAACCGCATCGATGTCATCCCTCGCTCCAAACCGCAGGCGAGGCACGCTTGTGTAGGTTCCACGGTGGCTTGAAATAATTGCACTCCGCCCCCCCCCCCGTCTCCCACCACCTTACCGCCAGCTGGCAGGAGCCATCAAATGTGAGCGGACAGTCATCTCGGGAGTGTGTCATCAGCACTGCTTACGGGGGAAAGGAGGTGGTGGTGGGGAGAGGGAGGGGTGGTGGGTGGGTGGGTGGTGGTGGTGGCGGTGTCAGGGTGCTGTTTTGGAGGTGGTGGGTGGCTGTTTGTGGCGGGGTTGGGTGTGCGTGCGTCTCGTGTGTGGGAGTTTGGATTGCTGCTGGCGGTAGTGGTGGTTGTTGGTGGTCGCTGGATATTGGGTATACCGAGGCTTCTAAATGAGGTGGTAGAAGAAGGTGGAATCACTGAGTAGAGGGCGATAGAGGGACGTGCGTTCCATCGACTCGCGCAGCGGTCGAGGAGGAGTTGTTACTCTCGGCGCGGGCTGAGAGTGGAGTGCGCATCCACGCATCTCGACTCTGCACATGACAGCTAAGATTTATTATCATCATCATTCATTCACGTGGATTTGAGCAAAGGGGCAGAAGAGATTTTTGTTTTTTATTCCCGACGAATGCGTCGGGAATGTCTATCGCAGTGCACAGGTAAGACGCGTTATGATGATCGATATTTTTTGCCGATGTCTTTCGAGTTCTTGATAATGTACGCGGTAAATCAGCGGGTGGCGAATTAAGGACAGTTCGATCGCATTGTGTAAGGGTGTCGTGTGCGTGCAGCAGGCGTTAGCTCCGTTTACGAGTGTATTAAAATACGTGCTTCCACTATGGACTTAAAGGCTCTTGGTGCCGCATGTGTTGTTAGCGAACATCTATCAAGGTCCGTAACGGCTGACCGGAGATGATAGGGGAGAGAGAAGGGGGAGGGGTGACGCGCCAGGCTGCCTTTGTCTCCCCCACTGTGATGTTGAAATGTCGGACCAGTTGTAGTCGTTTGAGGCTGAGTCGACCCAAGTGTGCCGATGATTTTTCGTGGTCCCGAATAAGACGCGGCCCCCCCCCCCCCCCAGGTTCTCATCGACAATGCGCTGACCACTGCGCCACCGCTCTTCTTCACACCTGTATACCATACACGCACACACACACGTCTACATACGCAGTGTGAGTGCAAGCATCAACCATATTCCAAGTGCTGTTAGCGAGCACCTATTAAAGTGGTAATGTTGTTTACAGTACTAGGGGAGGTGCATGACCGGTTCAGATACCACTTGCGACTGATATTAGCCTTGGCCGAGAGTCGAACTCGGTCGGCTTGCAAGCGGTCTTACCGCAGTGCGCTAATTACTGCGCCACCGCTCCCCTCAATGTGTGCGCACAGTGCGCACACCTGTCCACACAGTATATATGCATATCCATACACCTACACGGCATGCACACCTGTACACACAGTTCACACAACTACACACCTACACACAGTACCCACAACTACACACCATGCACACCTGTACACACAGTACACACAACTACACACCTACACGGCATGCACACCATGCACACCTGCACACACAACTACACACCTACACGGCATGCACACCTGTACACACAGTATACACAACTGCACACCTACACACAACTACACGGCATGCACGGCATGCACACCTGTACGCACAGTACCCACAACTACACACCTGTATAGTCTGCATGTACAGCATACACATCTCTGTACTCATGACACACACACACCTATGAGCGACGTGGTGTTCAGGACAGCACACACAGAGGAGACTTACGACGCAGTATACAACAGCCGTGCATATCCGTCCAGGGAGCTATCCTGTAGCCAAAGTGACTGCGAACTGAGCAATTTTATCTCCTGCTCAGAGGTCTGAGCCAGTGATTCAAAGTCAACATTGCTATGGCGGGGGCGAATCCATCCATTGATTTCCTCACAAAGCGGTACTCGCTGTATCGACCCCCGGGGGGGTGGGGATGATGATGGGCTGGGTCAACCCGCCGCAGCCAGGATTTGAACTTGCGTCCTTCCGTGCGTATCAGGCACTCGTTTAATAATTAAAGCCCCCCCCCCTCGCCTCCCCGTGAATTATTGAACGAGAATAACGCTCGCTATTTAATTAACCCTGCCGTACCCTCCACTCCCAGCCCACCCACCGGTGGTGTGTTCAACGCGTCCACGTGTTTGTACAAAGAGGCAAAGATTGTCCCCGCGTGTCGCCTTCGTAGACGTGGGGTGTCGGTGCAAGTACTGTTCGCCAGTCGCACGAGCCCCTATGAAGGCCGGCACGGCACACGAGGGGGTGGTGGGTGGCCAGCACCGCAGCACCGGCCACACGTTTATGTAGGAACAAGACAAAGATCCCCCGTGTAGCCTCAAGAGACGTTTGGGGCAAGTGCTGTTAGCGAGCACCTATGAAGGCCGGCACGGCACGGCACACGACGGGGTGGTGGGTGGCCAGCACCACGCCCGGCCGCCTTTGTCTCCCTCGTGGCGATTTTTACAAGCCACACCGGGGACTTATTTGAGGCTGAGTCGACCTAGGGGAGGCCCAGGACTGGTTCAGATAAACTTGACTGGGTGTTAGCCGTGAGCGGGTTTCGAACTCGGGTCGCCGGGTTCGCAGCGAAATGCGCTAACTACGACGCTACCGCTCCCCGTAGCAAAGGGACACACACACACGGACACCAACACGCGCGCCTCGTGTCAAATCGCTTTATGTTCTTAATTGCCTCGAGTTAAATCGATACAATCATCAGGGTGGGTGGGTGGCTGTGTCAGTGTGCGTTTCAATTTGCTTCACGTTGGCAAAGCGTGGTGCAGTGCCTAATGTGTTTAATTTCGTTGCATATTTAATGGAGGTTTGTTTTTTGGAAGCGTTCGTTCGCCGCTCGCGGTTAGGTGAAGCAATGACGGGGCCTGGCAGTGTCTATTGGCGGTGTCTACTAGCAGTGTCTATTGTGAGTGTCTACTGGGAGTGTCTATTGTGAGCGTCTATTGGCAGTGTCTATTGGCAGTGTCTATTGTGAGTGTCTACTGGGAGTGTCTATTGTGAGTATCTATTGGCGGTGTCTACTGGAAGTGTCTATTGGCGGTGTCTATTGGCGGTGTCTATTGGCAGTGTCTATTGTGAGTGTCTATTGTGAGTGTCTACTGGCAGTGTCTATTGGCGGTGTCTACTGGAGGTGTCTATTGGCGGTGTCTATTGTGAGTGTCTACTGGGAGTGTCTATTGTGAGTGTCTATTGTGAGTGTCTACTGGCAGTGTCTATTGGCGGTGTCTACTGGAGGTGTCTATTGGCGGTGTCTATTGTGAGTGTCTACTGGGAGTGTCTATTGTGAGTGTCTATTGTGAGTGTCTACTGGCAGTGTCTATTGGCGGTGTCTACTGGCAGTATCTATTGGCGGTGTCTACTGGAGGTGTCTATTGGCGGTGTCTATTGTGAGTGTCTACTGGGAGTGTCTATTGTGAGTGTCTATTGTGAGTGTCTACTGGCAGTGTCTATTGGCGGTGTCTACTGGCAGTGTCTATTGGCGGTGTCTACTGGCAGTGTCTACTGGGAGTGTCTATTGGCAGTGTCTACCGGCAGTGTCTACTGGGAGTGTCTATTGGCAGTGTCTACTGGCAGTGTCTACTGGAAGTGTCTATTGGCGGTGTCTACTGGCAGTGTCTATTGTGAGTGTCTACTAGCAGTGTCTACTGGAAGTGTCTATTGGCGGTGTCTACTGGCAGTGTCTATTGTGAGTGTCTACTGGGAGTGTCTATTGTGAGCGTCTATTGGCAGTGTCTATTGGCGGTGTCTATTGTGAGTGTCTACTGGGAGTGTCTATTGTGAGTATCTATTGGCGGTGTCTACTGGAAGTGTCTATTGGCGGTGTCTATTGGCGGTGTCTACTGGAGGTGTCTATTGGCGGTGTCTATTGTGAGTGTCTACTGGGAGTGTCTATTGTGAGTGTCTATTGTGAGTGTCTACTGGCAGTGTCTATTGGCGGTGTCTACTGGCAGTGTCTATTGGCGGTGTCTACTGGCAGTGTCTACTGGGAGTGTCTATTGGCAGTGTCTACCGGCAGTGTCTACTGGGAGTGTCTATTGGCAGTGTCTACTGGCAGTGTCTACTGGAAGTGTCTATTGGCGGTGTCTACTGGCAGTGTCTATTGTGAGTGTCTACTAGCAGTGTCTACTGGAAGTGTCTATTGGCGTTGTCTACTGGCAGTGTCTATTGTGAGTGTCTACTGGCAGTGTCTACTGGCAGTGTCTACTGGGAGTGTCTATTGGCGGTGTCTATTGGCGGTGTCTATTGTGAGTGTCTATTGTGAGTGTCTATTGTGAGTGTCTACTGGCAGTGTCTACTGGGAGTGTCTACTGGGAGTGTCTATTGAGAGTGTCTATTGTGAGTGTCTACTGGCAGTGTCTATTGAGAGTATCACGAAATCTCCGACGTGAGTCGGTTTGCACAGGGGTGGCGCTGGAGAGGCATAAAACAAAGTGCATCGGGTCCCAAGTAGCTCAATGGAACTCCCCATTCACGTCTAGGCTCGAATGGAAATCGACAAAAAAAATCAATTTTATTTTAAGAAGCTAATTAGTCGCTCTCATTCCGATCTGGTTTCTGATCTCAGTCGTTGCCCCGTGTCTGCATCTCTCTCTCTCCCGTTCCGCTACGTTTCTGTACCAATCTGTCATCTCTCTTCTCTCATCTCACGACATCTCCCCCTCCCCTCCCCCATCTCGCACTTCTCCCTATCTCTCCTGTCACCTCGCTCGGAATTTATAAATCGAACTTGGGGGGGGTGCGGGGAGGGAAGCAACTAAATGTAATCCCTTCATCAAGCTCCCCATCTGCCGGCAACCAGCACTGAGGATTGGGCTGTCGCGCTAAAATGTCGGTAACCCACACGAGTTTCGTCGTCCTGAGATGTGGGGTCGGTTTGCGTTGAGCGTCGGAGCGGGGTTAATTAAGTGGATGCAGGGAGTGAATTATTAAGTCCGTCGTGCGACCGCCATCTGCGCAGCGATGATACAATCACGTGGATTGGGTTATCAGCAAGAGAGGAGGAGGAGGATGAAAGGGAGTAGGATGCCGAGGAGGTGGTGGGAGCGGTGTGATGAAAAAAAATTAACCCGTAAAAACAAAGTTTTTCACTATAAATCCTTTATATGCGTGGCATCGGTTTTATTTTATTATTCATTTCTGTTTTTTTTGAGTAAGAGTTTCATTTTTATCACATTGGTATTTTAAATTAAATATGAAAAAAAATTCCCTAAAAAGTGGAAAATGTTGGAAAAAAAATTTCACGAAAATAAATTGTCACGCACAACGAGTCTGTGTGCAAAATGTCAGCTCGATTGGATCACGGGAAGTGGGTTAAAAAACGACCGAAAGATTTGCACGGTCGTAAGCGCGCAAGCAAGCAAGCAAGTGAACTTAATATAAAGGATTTAAAAACCTGGCAACCTGAGTTGGATTCCCGGCCACGGACAGACATCTTCGGCGAGTGAGTGATATCTGCACCGGTCCTCCCCCTTCCCTTCATCATCACTTAATGACAAAGCGTGGTGAAGTATGGTCAAACAGCAGCCGTAGAATCAATTCCGCATTGTTTCGTGATGAATCTTGTGGGCGAAGGCCTTGAAA